CAGTGGGAACCGAGTCTCTGGCGGCAGGGCCCTGTAAGCACACATCCTGGATGCCTGTGCATCTCTCCCAGGCCTCCTGGGCCGGTTTTTGCCATCATGGACATCAAATCCTGTCCTGAGGGCTAGAAGCTTTTCTGCTTCTGTGGCAGGCCAACCCCAGCCTTCCAACTCCATCTAGAGCAGCCCAGGAGGAGCCCAGGGGAGTCAGGGGTAGAGGGAGAGCTGCAGCCCAGGAGGAAGGGAAAAGAGGCTGGAGAGGAAGGCCCAAAAGTCCAGCCTCAGTAACGTGTCTCAAGCACTGTGTAGCAGAGACAGGGGCACCAGGCACCATCCCCTTCACCATCTCATCAGATCCCTGCAGCAACCCCATTCTATGAGGCAAGAAACTGAGGCCAGGAGAGGTGCCCAAGTCAGGCATGGAGCTGGTAACTGCAGAGTTAGGCTGTGTCGCAGCCACACCAGACTCCAAGTCCAGTGCTCTTTGCCCATCTTCAAGTTGCTGCGCTGGTTCCCTGCTCCGTCCTGCCTACCCTGTCACTTGCAGGGAGCTGAGTATCTGAGGACTCCAAGGGGGTGGCCAGGGCAGCAATCACGACGGACAGGGACCTCTGGGCTCCAGCCCACATGCCCTCCTGGTCCATTTATGTTCTCAAGTCTATAAATTCCATTATTCATCAAGTGACTGCATGAGTTTGCCTGGACGATGAATATTTTATTCACCTCTGACACTGTCCCCAGCCAAGGAGCAGAGGCCAAAGCTGCTGCCCTCCCTGGACACCCTGTCCCACCACCTCCTGGCCTCCCTGCACCTTCTCCCCCGACGGGCGTCCCAGCTCAGGCAGGGCTGGCATGACCCTGAGCTTGGTACTCCCCCTCCCTCTGCCTTGATTTCCTCCTCTGAGCAATGGGTTTACTTACTGCCATGCCAGGCTTTCCCACCCCCTCTGCGGCCTCAGCCTGTACAGTAGGAGCTCTCCCTGGTGCTGAAGATGGTGGGGGGCGAGGGAGAGGATGCTGTCTTCAGGAGGCAAGGCCTCTGGACAGGAGAGGAGGACTTCTGTCTCAAGAAAGGAAGGGTCCGGCCTCTGGACAAGGTGGTCCCCACTTTACCTCCAGTCCTCCTGCCGCTTGATGGATCCTTTCAGAGTCACACGTGTCAGCGGGTCACCTTTCCAAGTGTCTCAACCCCTGAGCCAAGGACTAGTGATGAGGTCTGGGGAGACCCCCTCAGGTGGGGCCCTGAGGCCACGAGTCTTCCAGTGGGCACCCCAGGGAGTGCAGTGTGACAGCGGCAGCTCCTTCCCCAGATGGGGGAGCGACAGACATAATTCACACCCTGCGATCACACCATCTGCTCCCCCGTGACGTGCAGAGGAGAGGATGGGGCTGCAGTGCCAGCGGGCGGGCGTTTGTTTGTTTGTTCGTTCATTCATTCCTTCATTCATTCATGTGGCAGATGTTCATCCAGGCCCCGCTACTGTACAGGCATCGGGGGTCTGGGGGGTGCAGACCTAGACCCTGCCCTCCTGAGCTGAGAGTGGTCCTCTCACACCTCTGAGCTTTTGCCCACCCTGGCTCCTCTCTTGGAGCCCCCGGCTCATAATAATTGCCACTGAGATCCAAATCCTCACTGAGTTCTGAGTGCTTCACAGGCAGGATCTCACCGTGTGTTCCTGTTTAGCAGGTGGGTAAACTGAGGCTTACAGAGGTGAACTAAAACACCCAAGGTCACACAGAGAGCTCTGGGTTCTCCACACAGAGTTCTTACTCCCACCCCACAGCCTCCCCTACCCCATGTCCAGAGACTTTTCAAGTCCTGCCTCCTCCCGGGCCCTTCAGGCAGAGTGAGCCACTTCCCAGCCCCATGGCCCTGTGAGCACCAGGCATGAGCGGTGCCCCTTGTCCTCTGACTCCCGGCCTGGCTCACAGCACCTGGCATTTAGGTGCTACCCAGTGAACTGCAAAACTCAGCAGTGAGGGGTGGAGGAGGAGAAGGAGAAGGAGGCAGAGGCCTCCACTCTGCTGGGGTCCACGTGGCTCCCAGAGGAGGCAGCATTCACGCGGAGCCTGGAAGGGCAGGGAGAGCTCAGCTCCCTTCCCCACCGTGGGCTCCAACCCCAGCTCTGCCTCGTACGGCTGTGTGACCTAGCCTCATCCCTTCTACTCCCTGAGCTGGGTATCTTCTGTGAAGAGGGGAGCCACACGGCCCTCTGAGGTGCGGGGAATCAGCAGGTCACATGCACAGCCCAGGCGGCACATGGAAACACGGGCTGACAGGCGCTCCCGTGGGCTGTTGCTTTGCACCAGGGAGGAGGACAGGGATGGGCCTGAGTCCCCAGGTGACCAGGGTGATAGGGACGGCCCAAGCAGTGGAGTGCTCCATGACCTTGGTGCTGTAACCCCCAGGAGGTCCCTGGCCCCAGAGATCCCTCTGGCCAGACAGAGCCTGCCCCAGGGAGCACCCTGGTCACTAGGTGGGCAGCCTGTCCCTTGAACACAGATGGAGGCCAAGGTCCTGGGGGAGGCTGAGGCCCGTGTCTGCCTGTGTCATGCTCTCCCTCAGATTCACAGGGCAAACCTCTAGGCTGCCCCCTTCATTCTTGCATTTTTGGTTTATTTATCTCAGGGGCTGTTTTGGCTCATTTCCTTGAAAATTGCCTGCCTGGGCAGCAAGGCAAGAGTCACTGGGGATGCAGGAGGAGCTGCCCCTCTGCTGGGCAAGTGCCAACATGATCCTCAGCAGCTTCCCGGGGAGTCACTGGGAGCTGGGTTTCCCACCAGCCCCTCAGCAGGCTCCCGCCCACCCTCCTCAGCCCAGGGGTCTGATTTAGAGCCGGGCTGGCCTGGTCACTGAATCCCAGACACACAGTAAACATCAAAGGAGTGAGCTGCCACAGCTTGGCTCTCAATCAATACTCGGCAGCTATAATTATTATTAATTCCTATTCCCTGGGGGATTTCATGCTAATAGGAAACTCCTAAGAAGTACAGGGAGGCGCTGCCAGGCACCTTTCACACACCCCAGCACCTCATCCTCACCACTGCCCCGCTTACAGACGGGGAAATTAAGGCCCCAGAAGGCTAAGGGGCGTGACTGGGAGGTGACAGACGACGGAGCCCCTGATCTGCCTGCCTCTGAGCCAGTTCCATCTTCCTCTGTTCCACGGGAAAACTCGGGGGAGCACAAAGCGTTCAGCGCTAATGGCAGAATGTCAGACCTGGGAGGAGACATTTGGAGTAGGAACTTTTCTGGGGCCTCTCACACTCCCAGGCCCATGTCTTCATGGGCACTTGGCTGGCACACAGAGGCCTGGGAGACAGACAGATGGCTACAGTTCTTCTGGCTCCTCTGCAGGTCTTGGATCTGCTGGGAACTCCCTCCAGGGCAGTGCCTGGGAAGTGCTGGGGTCAGATCTAGCCTGGCCAGGCTGCCGTCTCTCACTGAGCCCCTCTCTCCAGGCTCTGAGACAGAGCTGAGATTAATCAGCAACAAAAGCAGAAACAAGCAGAAAAATGTAATCAGCTCGGGAAGGGCAGGGTCGGGTAGAACTGTGGCAATCAGCTTTCCCTCTGAGGCCTTTGGCTGATTGGACCAAAGCCGGTAGGAAGGTGGTTCCAATGGGGGTTCCAGGGGTGGGGCCATAGAATCACCCCTCCCCACAAATACACACACCTCTGCACACGTGTCTAGGATCCTACCAGCCCAAGGGCCTCCACACAGCCCTCACCCTTCACAGGCTGGGCCCTGGGCTTCTGCGGGCCCCTCCCTTGCCAGCTCACAATCTTGGCACACACAAGTGTCTGCACACACTCCCAGTGCACGCCCATCTGCATGTGGACTTGCAAACACATGTCCACACAGCCAATGGCACAGACATCCCTGGTGGACAACATAAAGCACACATGCTGCTCCCACAAACGACCCCCCACCCACCCCATGTGCACACAAGCTCCCAGGCCTGGGTGAGCCCCGTGCACATACACGAGGTCTAACCTGCTGCTGTGTGAACTGCAGCCGTGTGAATGGACAGGCCTCCAAACCAGCCCCACGAAGCACAGAAGGCACTGGTGGCATCTGGATCCCTCACTGCCCTGGGCCCCGAGGCAGATCCTGCCTCCGCCTCTACAGGCTGAGTGGTAGGGGCTTAAAGACGATCCAGGACTGGGGTCCCCCATGCCGGCGGGGAGGGCAGCTGCTCGGCCGACCCAGAAGAGCAGGGTCGCAGATACAGAGCAGAGGAGCTGGCCCCAGGCCGGCCCCCCCAGCCTGCTGCCCCTATCCTATGACCTTGGTCAACGCCCTCTCTCTCAGCCTCAGTTTCCCCACCTTGGGGCCTTTCCCGGCACTGTGATTCTCCTCGGGGATCCAGGCGCTTGAGATCGTCCTCACCTCCCCCAACTCCTTCGGCCTCAGGTCCCGGCTCTCAGCTCGTGGCGGGGCAGGCCCGGGGGCATGAAGGAAGGGCCCCACCCCCAACCTCCCCCACCCTATCCTGGTGGCTGCAGACTTGGGGGCGCGCCATCTGCGGGAGCCGCCAGCGGCGGGGGAGCCCGGCCGGGGCAGC